TCTCTGTCGGCTCTAGTGGAAGGTCTTCTCTTGGTCTGGGAGCATCTCAGCACAGGAACCTCAGGTCCAAAGGGATGTGCTCTGCTCCCAGCACTGCTTTCTTGGTGGTATAAGGTTCCTGTATCTCTCTGCTCGCTTCTCTCTATCATATCTCAAAAGAGACTGGCTTAAGACACTATCCAATCTTATAGATCTCATCAATATAACTGCCGCCAATCCATCTTATTACATCACAGTGATAGAATATATAACACGTAGGGAAATTACATCAGATGACAAAAGGTAGACAATTATACAATAGTGGGAGTCAGGACCTAGCCAAGTTGACAGATATTTTTGGGGGACACAATTCAATCCATGACAGGGTCGACAGCAAAAAGAAAAAAAAGTTGAGAAGCATTGGCTTAGAATGAGCAATAAATGCAGGACTTTTGGTCAAAAAGTTGAAACTCACTCACTGGCCTATAATATTTGGGGGAAGAGAGATCTCAGAATTTTCTCTGAGCTCTACCTGCCGCCTTCCCTCCATTTATCACCTACATCTCCCACCTCCCAGACTCAGCCAGAGTGAGCCGGGTTGGTTGCCCTGGAGGGTGGGGCCTGACCAACGTTTTAGTGGAATTCTACATTTCAAATATGGCATCTTTGATCCACAATAGGAGTTGAAAATTGCACATCAGACAGATATGTAGTTGATTTACAGCTTTGGGAACAGCGGAATGGATGTCTGTTCAGGAGATGAGAAGCTAAGCTAACACTGTGGAAAGGGCTGAGTTTTCAGGAGACTGAGGGGGGAACATGAAAAGAACAGTTCAAGCACTGCTGTTCTCAGAGCTTTGGCTGCTTCACTGGGAGCTCACTGGGCGTCAACGGAGACCCAATCCAGAATTTAGTTGTTAAAACACTGATTTAACCCCCTGCTGTGGTGGGCACTGAAGTGGAGCTTTGCCTAAAAGGAAGCCCTTGGTGTAAAAGGAGCCAATAATTAGATTCTCCCACATTTCTGCAGGAGGCAAGAAGCAGAGGTAAACAAAGGAAGTCGAAGAGCAGGAAGAGGCAAAGAGTGTGAGACACACCTCCCTGATCGAGTTTCTCAACTGCCTCCCCACCTAAGTGCATTTCCTTTTTCTAGGAACGTGGGTCAGGAGCCACAGACCATGCAAACACCTCCAAACAACACTGGGTGCTCCGATCAAAGCAAGGCCGCCGGACACTGATACCTCTTCCAGGGGCATGTACCTTCCAGCGGGTGAAAGCAAACACGGACAATGGACACTTCAGATTGGAGCTTCAGGACGGAAACAAAAGGGAAGAGAAAGAAAGGGGAAGTCCAGCCAAAGGCTCACTCCCAAAGATCAAAGCTACGGAAGCTCTGGTTTGCCCTAAACAAAGGGATTTCCTCCTATGAGCAGCATGCAGAAATCTGTTCAATAACCAACGCGCCTGCCGTGGTGTTACAATTTATTACAGCAGGTAATGACATATCTGCTCTACTCAACTTAAGTTCATGTGCAAGAGAACGCCCAGATAGAAAAGGCACTGGATTAAATGGGTGAGTGCGGCATTTTACCAAACTGCCCTTGCAACGGCTGCCTGCAGCGGATGAGAAAAGGAAGCCTCGACAACCAGGTATAGTCAATTACCCAGGGTCAGATAATCAACCACGCTAATTTTCCTGGCTCTTGTTTCTCCTCTTCCAAATCAGCTTAATTACATGTTGCCATCCTTGTTAGCTGCTATTGAGTTGGCCCCTAAGTCATGGCACCCCTGCACAATGGAAAGAAATGCTGGCCGGTCCTGTACCATCCCCATGATCGGCTATGGATTGCATGGTGTGATCCATAGGGTTTTCATTGGCTGATTTTCAGAAGCAGATCTCCAGGTCTTTCTTCCTAGGCCATCTTAATCTGGAAGCCCCAGTGAAACCTGTTCAGCATCACAGCAACACACAAGCCTCCAGTGACAGATGGGTGGTGACAGAGCATGAGGTGCACTGGCTGGGAATCGAACCTGGGTCTTCTGTACAGAAGATCAGAATTCTATCCATGGACCACCACTGCCCCCTCAATTACATGTTAGGTGTTTAAAAGTTCTAGTAATGAATTCGATGGAGAAAGGCTGGACACACAAAGACGTGAAGAATTTTAAACTATGAAACTAAAGGGAGGAGGTTATTTTTAACCTTCAGTTATCCTGCTGCCTTTCTGTTTGGAAGCAGATGGGATAAAGGACTGCTACAAAAAATTTTGTTCTCTATTATGTAAAGAGATAAAATAATATGCCCTACGGCATTTTTAAGAGAAG